TGTCGGTTTCATCCTTTCAGAAAGAATGGGTCAATGTGTGAAAGAGTATGAATGTGTAAGCCCGAGGCTGCTATGGATACGAATGAAAGTGGGCTTAAAGAAGCTGTTCCTGCTAGGGGTGTACGCCCCAGACATGTCTAAGCCCACTTACATCCGAGAGCAGTTTTGGGACATGGTAAGGATGGTGTTGGCAAAATGTAAGGAAAATGAAAATATTATTATGTTAGGAGACTTTAATAGGAAGGGTTGGGGTGAAGAGGTCTGGTTATGAAAGGATATTGGGAATGTGTGGTAAGAATATAAGGAGAGTTAATTGAGCAAGAGTATTATATAAGAAAATTCTGTATTATCCCTATCCCAAGATACTTTGAAATATTGTAAATTAGTATATTTATTTATATATATATATTAATATATATTATAAAATATTTATATATATTATAATATATATTAGTATATTTTAGTATTGTGTTTAAAATATTAGGCAGAGGTAAGTATTCACATTTTTATGACATATTGCTTAGGATAACCCCACATAAAAATTTTGATTTCAACATTTGCTAACGTACAATGTTTTCAGTTTATAATATAAAGTAAAATTAAAGTAAACAAATATGTATAAACTTATTCAGAAAAGAAGTTTATATTTCTATAAATCATATTAATTACAAAGTAATTTCGTATTTGTTACGAATATGAAAGACAATTTTCTTATAGTGAATAAATATTTTATTTAATTATACTTATATTGATTTCTTATATTTACGCGAACACTACACATTTAAATAAAAATAATTTTTACTTTTTTAATATATCATTGGTTTTTACGGATTTTATCGCATATGTTAAAACTTATTTTATATTACCGACGTTTAGATCACATTACAGCACTTATGGTCACGGGGGGGGGGGGGGGACTGACGTGTTCTACGTCCCAGTGTCATAGTTAACCACGCAGAAACAGAATTATGAACTTATAATATCTTTTGTTGGTTGTGATTTAATTTTATTAATTATAGGCTCCCAACCAGATGGTAGCACCCAGCCATCTTCTCTATTGAAATTAGGATGTGTTTTTGATTTCAATATCCTCGCGAATCATCCTTGGAAGTAATCGGTGTTCTTTAGTGAGAATTTGTGGTTTATCAAATCTGATGTAGTGACAGGGGCGATCCTGTACGTGTTCACAGACTGGAGACTCCCGGAGCGTCGATTCTTCACATCAGCTTTGTGACGGGGGGTGTAAAAGTGTTTGGGGGGTTAACAAGGTTATATGAGGTTTCGCATTATCTTGTTGGAACAATACACGTGTATTTTGATCATTTCTGGCCTTTTCTGTTTAGGTTAATCATTCAATTTGTCTAGCTGATGACAATACACTTCAGAATTGATCTTTGTTATCAGGTAGAAGCTCAAAAAAACACGATTTCTTTTAAATCCCCCCAAATATACAGCATCACTTTTTTTTAGAAAAATCTCGGCTTTCGAAGTACTTGAAGTCGGTTCATATTTGTTTAGTCCATGATGACATTATTATGACGTTATTTCCTGAAATGCCTTGGTCAGTTCGGCAAGCGACTGAACCTCCGGAAACAGTGTGTAGAGTGATTGTGGGTGGAAATTTTGTCGTCAGTTGGTGGCAATTGCTGCACCAAGTGGACGGCGTATTTATATGACATATTGCGGACGATAAATGCGAACGGAAACCAACATAAAAAAAAATAGTAAGGGTTTACTATAACAACTAGCGATCCGCCCAGGTTCTGCACGGGTGATTTCTGGATCTAGACCACAGCGCAACTACCCGGTCCAATAGTGAATCTAAACCATTGTCAAATCAACTTAATCACACACGCACATACAAAATTTCATCAAAATCTGTACCAGCCGTTTAAGTTCAGTCACAAACACAGACAGAAGGATTATATTATAAAGACTAGCTGATACCCGCGACTTCATCCGCGTTGCTTGATATATTAATAAAGAAAACACACATTACTGAACTACACGTAATGCTTATAAAATCGTTGTGTATTAAAACTTTAATAACATTATATTAAATGAAGATATCACAATTTGTTTTTAGATAAGGGCAAGGTGTTCATGAAATAAAACCTAATGAAATCTATCCAGTAGTTTTTACGTGATGCGCGCACAACTGCAAACCTCTATCATTTTATTTAATATTTTTTATGTTATTATATTATTTAATATATTTTAATGAATACAGATAGATAATGACCCTAGTCTACTCCATAGATCAGTCATCAGAGCAGCGTAATACATGAATTAAAAAAAAATTGCCAAGTACTTAAAATATTGTAATTAGAAAAAATAATATTTTCTATTGTATCGTGGAAACAAGTTTTTCATTTCATTTTAGTGGGAATTAATGGGGCTGTAATTAGATATACAATATGTATGGAGAGTTATTTGGTATGAGGTACCTAATAAGAAGTACCTAATTTCAGTCACGTAATATAAATCGGGGTAGTCATAATGTGGAATTAATATCATTAATTAAAACAACTCGTTTTGCAAGGTTGTTAAGATCAAATCGTCTGTTGTAAAATTATGTTATAAAATTATTGTTTTGAGTTGAAAGTTTAGCAAAAGTTGTATTTGCTTTTCTATCAGACATTTGTTGTATATATTATAAATATCGAATGTTTTAATTATTTCTTGTTCAAAAAAAATGACTAATTTACACAGGGACAGTAACTGGCCCCAAATTTGAGACAAGTCTGCGCTGACCCGCTACCTACTGGCATAATTTAAATTTATTTGGATTAAGAAAAACTTAAAAGCTTTTTTCCACTTTTATGCCCAAATACTCAATTTTTTTATAGAATAGGGTTGACAAATGAATTGCTACTCAACTTAGAGTAACCTGTTACTCTAAGCTACTCAATTTTTCAGACGCCGTTAAGTATCATGCTATCTCTTTCGTCTGTCGGTTTTGACTGTCGTCTGTCTATTTGGACATTAAATTTAATAACGTTTATTTTAGAGACGGTAAAAATATAAGAAATTTTATTAAAGTAAAATAGTTGTTAAATAATTAAAAGGTAACTAATACGTACTGCATTTTTAAGCTTTGAGGAAAGTTATAGATAACCACGGAATATCATCCGTGACGTAGGAAAGAAAAAAGATGCAAATCCATATGGAGAGCGAACACTCGCGCGCAGCGATATATTTTAATTTAACTTGCGTGCGTAATTTAACTAATTAATAATAATAACTCTAATTAAGAGTATGAACTAAGTTAAATAATTTTAACTAGTTCGGAATGGAATACTTTGTTTAGGAAATAATTACGTTAAGAATCATCATAATGTACAAAAAGCAGTATTTATTTACAAATTTAGTAACAAACTAACGCTCTTTCAAGGTCTTCACTAGACCGTAAAGTTAGCTGCTGAACAGGGGCCTCTTGTTGTTGGGTGGATATCTAGGGTTACCTTCTTTATTAAAAGACCTACCCTTCTTCAGCTTCTTCGATCTAAAACTCTATCAAATACCAATTTCGCAAAAGTTATTTGATAATAAATTACTACATGTACTGAGATAAATTACTAAGATAGCATAACATGTAGTTAGTTTCATAAGCGTAAACTGACGGATAAGGCGAAGAACTTACAGATTAGAAGAGGCCTTTACCAGCAGTGACTTATCTAATAACAAATCGCATTTACTACCTACATTTAATTTATTCATGCATTTAAATCAACCCATGTGGCTAACAGGATGCATTCCAAAACGTCGACAATAATCTTAAATTACATTTACATTATTAAAAATAAAATGTAAGTATATAAATTAATTCAGAATGTTTTGCTAAACAAGTTTGGAAATCATAGGCAACCATAGATGATGCTTTACATTTATGATGAAGTACAATCCTCGATACAACACCACAAAGTGTTTAACTTATTTTATTGTAGGGTGGATGCCCCTTATACCAACCACATCCCTAATTTCAGCCTTTTCGCCTTTTTACTTCATAAATAAGGTTTCTAGTGATTTTAACTACAAATATTGTCAGTTAAAAATTATTTGTAACTGGAGGAAACTGTCATTTACAAAAGTACAAGCAAGTTACATGTCGTCTTATTCTATTGTGAGTAGAGTAGTCACCCGTACTTTATAATAAAGTAACTAGGGGAAACGGTATAGTTATTGGCCAGTTAAGCTACCTTATAACTTCAACTGTATAAAATAAAATAAAAAATTGATAGTTTTAAATAAAAATATTTTTAATTATATTCACTTAGTGTATATAAATCAAATAATGCATATCTTATTTCTTATATTTTCGTAACAAAATTAAAACAAAAACACAATCTTCAAATTTACAGTAGTTGGCCACATACTTACACTTATTGGCCAGAAATTGGCACAGTTATCGGCCATACAAAGAAAAAAATAAAATCACTCACATCTACTAAGAATTAGGAACTTATCGAACTGAAAACAAAAAAATAAAATCACATACACTTTAACAAAACGATTCTTGTATAATTCCACGCATTGAATTAATACATATTATTATTTACTTCATCCTTTGAGTCATCATTCATTATATAACAGTTATGACATATAAAATCTAAAATGTCTTCTTCATCTGGGATATGCTCTCTGTGCTAAATAGGAATGCACTGATTATGATATGATTTCTTGCATGAACTACACAATAAAGATTTACTTTTTAAAGACGTCTGCATGAATTACAAGTAATCAGTAACATGTTGTGTAATATCTTTGATTTATTAGTAGATTCACTTAAAACATTTTTATTTACAGTCTCAACGTTACTAGTGCTTCTCTATGTCATTAAGAGGAGTAACAGTTTCAGTTTCCTTTTTAATGGTTTCATTTATGGATGTCTTCCCCACGCCTTTCCCTTTTTTTCTCTTTTCAATTGAGTTTTGTTTCCGAGTGCCTGCTTGCTCATCTCTTTCTCTTTTCCTTTCAATTTTTTCATTCCCTTTTTGTTGTTACTCAATTTTTCTTCTTTCAATAGTTGCTCTAAAGTTCACGGAAGTTATTACATAAGGGTTCTTTTCTGTCTTCCTGATAAATTTTCTTTTATTTACTGGGGGATTTTGTAAGTATTCATTGATTGATTTGTTAAAGTGAGGCTTATCTTTTGATGTAGATGGTGTGGATAAATCTAAAACAATATTTTTTGTAGGAGTCGTGGTGAGTTTTACTGTTGTCACATTATCTTCGTTGCTCAGATTTACATTGGTTGTTGTATTTATTGGAGATTGTATTTCTACATTTGTTGATTCTTTCAGTGGAAAATCACCTTGAAAAAAAGACCAAAGCTTGTACAAGGTAGGAGAATTCACATTTACTGCCTGAGATTGTAGAACTTTCATTTTGCTAATTATTTCTTCTCCTATAATACTTTCAAAGTCTTTATAAGACATCATTTTATTTTCTTCTTTGGACTCTTCTCTCTTATTATTTGTTGCTAGACATTTGGTGTAATTTATAGCATTTTCATTAAAAGGGTACAAGCCACAGGCTTTGAAGTCACTAATTATGTTATTCGGGCTTTATCTCTTCTACAACAGATTTTAAAATGCTGGCAATATTTAATTTTGTCACTACCTCGCCCATGTTATGTGCCTGAAATTTTGCTACTTCTTTTCTATATATCTTTTTTATTGGTCCGAAAACAGACACATCTGCAGGTTGAGTAATACGGGTAGTGTTAGGGTACAGTGCAATTAACTCTATGCCTAGCTCTTTGCACGTTAAGCTAAGCGGTAGTGTAATGTGACTCTTGTGGCCATCAATAAATAAAATTACTGGTTTTGGTATATTCTGTTCGGTAAGATATGGAGCAAATATTTCCGTTATAAACTGGTTGAACACGTCCGCCGTCATCCACCCCGTACCGGTATCACTACGGCCGATACCCCATTTTGGCGGCACCGAAGATGCTACCCTATCGGGTAACCTCTTATATGGAAATACTATCAATGGAGGGCATGTTATGCCGTCAGCAGAGAAAGTAAAGAGAACGGTTATGCTTTCCTTAGAGTTTCCCTGCTGCACAGCATAGACATTTTTGTCTCCTTTTGCAGCGAGGACACGTCCAGTTGAAGGGCACGTATGGAATCCTGTCTCATCGGCATTAAAAATCCGACAAGGATCTTGAACGACGTCTAAAAGGTTTTCATTAGTTTCTTATTTAAAAGGTAGTTTCTTATTTCTTTAAACCATTTCTTAATGTCACATCTACACAAGCTTTCGTTACTCCTTCGCTAGTTCTTTGGGTCAAAGTGGGGTGTCGTTTTAAAAAAGCCTTCAGCCATCCCTGTCCAGGCATATTATTAACGAAAGGAGTTTCTCTTGGATTTTCAGTCAAAAATTTTTGAACGCTGTCTAGTACATCATCTGATTTGCGGGTCATTTGAATTAACCATTCCTCAATGGAGTTTTCTTCTTGTTTTGTTAAATAGGGTGTTGGACCAAATTCGGACTTTGAAGTAGGGTTTTGTAGTTTAAATTGTAAAGTTGCTCTTGGAATGTTATATTTTTTGCAACAGCTCTCAAAGACATTGTTTTACTATGAATTTTTTCTAAAGCCTCATCTAGCGATTCTTTCGAATTTTTGGCATGATTCTTTATCCTTTAATCTGTTAGAAAAAAAGTAGTGATTTGTTTAAAATAAATGAATTAATATTATAGTAATTGGCCTACTTTTTATATGACTTAGAATTACATGTGACACAGTACTTGGCCAAGGCCAATAACTATTAATAAATCTTTAATTGTTTAATCGTTTTTATATACATAATTTGTTTAGTATCGGATAAGTATAGTTATTCGAATTACTGGTCAATTACTGTAAACTTTTAAAATAATTGATACAGTAATTGGTCACAATATTTTTTAGGTTATGTTAAGATGTTAATGTTTTTCAGTTTTAACATGTTTATACATAAAATACTATATATTATATAGATTTGCGAACACTCAACTATGATCAGTATGGTCAAAATATCACTTTAAAAAAAATGTGTACTCTTAACATTTTTTTAACAAATTTACCTGATTGCGTACCGTCGCGAAGAAATCCCCGATTACAAAAGGACAAATTCACCTACCGACGTTTTGACGAAACTTTTTGGGAGTCAACAACTGTGTTGCCAAAATAAATATTAATAAATAACATTTAACAACGAGGTTGGTAGTTTTTTAAAACCAAAGTTGAAATTGCTAATAACTGCATGGGGGCCAATGACTATACCGTTTCCCTATTATACGTTGTTTCGAGCAAACGTACTTTATAATTTTAAAATTAAAAATATTTTACTACGAGGGCGGCACTGAAAATTTCAGGAATCAAGGAAGTGACACAACATTACTATTTAAAAATGTATTTATTGAATTTCGAAGTATTCTCCGCGAAATTTGACACATTTTTATATACGATGGAACCAATCATTGAAGCAACCATTTAATTCGGAAGTTGGGGTCTCCAAAATGGCCGTTTCGTAGGCGTCCACAGCCTTTCGTTCTTCAGGTGATGAAAATCTCTGTCCACACAATTTATTCTTTATTTTAAGGAAATTATAGAAATCATTAGGGCTTAGGTCAGGGTTTTACGGCGGATGGTCTAATAATTCTATGTTTTCTTGCTCTAAAAACTGTTCGTGTGAGCCCGGAGGATGATGCGGCGGTTGCAGTTCTCTTTACGGAGTTCAGAAACGACCTGTGGCAAACAAACGCTAGCATACCTTAACCGTTCTTTGTCCCTTAAAGATTACAACGCCGGTTGGAGACAAACGTGGCCACCATTTTTTTTGCAACACTCCGTGAACGAACAATTTTTGTTGGCTTTAACTCATTTTCGAACATCCAAACTCGTGACTGGTTTCTTGTTTCGAGTTCGTACGCGTATATCCAGGATTCGTCACCTGATACGATGTTGTATACAGCATTTAAGGATCCTGCGTGGAATGTTTCGAGAGTTCTGACGCACCAAGTAACGCGAGCCGCTTTTTGCTCTTCATAGAGCGAATGCGGTATCCATCGGGAAAACAACTTTTTTTACACCTAATTGTTCATGCAAGATTTTTGTATTTGACTCATGCCAATGTCTAAAGTTGCCTTAATTTCGCGGTATGTCACATGTCGATCTTCCTCAATCAGCTTACGCACAGCATCAACGTTTTCTTTTGGGTGACTGCAGTTTTTGGACGACCTTGACGGGGATCATCATTGAGCTTGACACGTCCACGTTGAAATTCAGAAAACCAGCGATAAATTGTGGTTTTAGATGGGGCTTCATCACCAAATGCAGAAATCATCCGGTCAACACACTGTTTTTGTGTTAAACCGCTTCGAAAGTCATAATAAATCATCGCTCTTGAATTTTCTCGAGTCAGTTCCATTTTCTCAACGACTAAACAAGTTTGACAAAACCTTGTGACTAGACCGAGAATCTTTTTATAAATAAATAAATGGTATTCGATTTTTAAAACCAAGGAGTTTTCAATTAAAAAGATTTTAATATGACAGGAACAGTGGAAATATTCCATTCCCGATACTTTTAGTGCAGCCTAGGTATGTATGTAGAAATAACTTTGTAAAATTATATACAGAATTTTGTGTCACGTCTTCTTTTCATTCCTGTTACTTCAGCGTTATTTACATATAATATTCTTTGATTAATGCTAGGTTATGGGATGAAAGAAACAGAACATATAAGATTAACTAACACATCATAGAATGTAAAGATATTGTGTGGATAAAATAGCATTTCAAATAAATAATACTTTATTTTCGCTTGTCGCTTATATTTTATTTTTTAAGTAGGAAAAGTATATATACATTATTATATTGGACACGAATAGTACAGGACAGAAGACGTGTCCTTCCCTTATATCTACTATAACACAGCCTGCTCAGTTTTTTTTATAGGATAGGGTGACAAACGAGCACACAGTCCACCTGATGGTAAGTGGTTGCTGCGGCCCATAGACATCTACATCTATACTCGATTACAAAACAAAATGCAGATGCGTTAAGAACCGTGGGGACTAAGATGGAATGACTGCAGCATGGCTCTAGTACGTATAACTAAAATTATGTTAAGGCAACTAAGATATTTTGCGATATTAAATGCGCCCCATATTAGTTGATATTAATGCACTGGTGCTGCTTGTGACGCACATGGTTGTTTGCTGTGCACTGATGAATGCAAAATATTTAGATCTAGGTTTAGTTTTATAATAGGACAGCTGTGTTATAATAGAAACTGTTTTATAATAGAACAGCTAGTTAGCAATGTTTTTTTTTTATCAAACAAGTAGCAGTTATTTGACCTTTAAAATTCCCTTTCGTCGGTTGATCTGCGGTTAGAGGGAGCTTATTTTGTAAATGTAATACCTAGTATAAAAATGACGCTTAAAACATTTTATTTTAATTTCTTGCGCCGAAGTCATAAAGTTAAATATTATTACTTTATTACTTCTTATTTATTTATTATATCTCTATTACTTCGAATTAAAAAGTTAAAATTAAATTTTCAAGCTTCATTTTTATACTAAAAAAACTTTACTTTTTATTGGGTCAATTGAAAAGTAAGTAATAGTGTTAATTATTTCCCATAACTAGTCATGACCAACCGACAGACATTGTTCATGACTAGTTGTGGGAAATAATTAACACTGACCACCAAGATCGCATTGTAGAATAGAATAGAATAATTTTTGTTCACAATTACACACAATTACAAATCATATTATGTAATTCTTCTTGAAAGTCATTTTTTTAATTCTTTCTATGTCCTATGTCCTATTTTAGTTCATTTTAAGTCATTTTCCAATCCGAACAAATGTAGTAGATCAGTAATGTATATTATTATTTTTAAATTAACTATTAATTTTACAAAATTGTAATATAGGTACACATATTACTACACCTACTAGTTGGTAAGTGGTTGTTGTGGCCCTAAAGCAAGGTTTAGACGAAGCCAGTGTTGGCTGCCAGTTTTATTGGCAGCCAGTGCTGGCTTGTTATTGGCCTCGTATAAACAGTTTTTCAAGGCAAGCCAGCGCTGGCTGCCAGCACTGGCGGGAATAGAGCATCTGCCTATTTTTCAAGCCAGTGACATACTCCGCAACCCACGCTCCAGAACTTGTAATATAAAAAATTTACTATTGATATTATACAATTTCCTATATTTGATGTAGGTATGTACTACATGATAAACATTATTTTAAGTTAAAGTTTAAAAAATAATTAATTTAATACACAACAAGAATAATCTAGGAATGAAATGAATCCATTTGGCCTCGTCTAAACAACACGGGCCAGGCCAGCGCTGGCTTCTCTGAGAACTGGCTCCAGCGCTACTGGCTTCGTGTAAACCTTGCTATAGACACATCTGTCCTCGATTCAAGTTCAAAATGCAGATGCGTTTTCATCCCTGAGGCTAAGATGGAATACTTCGCTTTCAAAAAAAAGCGTACATACGAAACACAGCAACATTTAACTCCTATATTACGCTAGTATTCGCGCTTCGACCATAATAACTGTAGCATGGCTCTACCACGTATGTATCAACTCTCAGGTACCTATTTCTGCCGTCAAACAGCAATGTATGTACTACTCTGTTCCCATCACAATAACTTGCCTTGAGGCCGATAATTTTAAGTCTTCTTTGTTTAAAATTGTAAGTTGGTCCATGGGCAGCAGTAGAAACTCACCATAGACTATAAGTTCGCTGGTCAGTACAGTTTAAAAAAAATACGTAGATCTTCTTTAGTGACAGCAAGGATCGAACATAGTGTATTCGCGTACTATGACATTTTATGGAAAGAGCTTATCACCTATGCTACCTGTTGGTAATTTATTTATTTATTTTTATTTATTTCATTCAAAAACTCTTGTGGCTTACAGAAAATCCAACACGAACACAAGGTTAAATTTTACATGCAAAAAATATTTAAAAAAAATTACGTCCAATTATAACAACAAAAATTTATGGTTATTACTTATAAAATAATAATCATAAATTAAACAATTATACAATACACCACTATATAAAATCTCTAAGCATTTAGCAGCCCGTGTTGAGAAATTAAAATAGTAAAAAACAATAAAACATGAATAATTGTATGAAATTTTTTGTCATATTAATTAATAATGTAATGTCAATAAAAACTAATTAGAATATATGCCCATAATTGAAATTACATCTTAAATGCAAAGTAATAAATAGTACACAGTCAAGCAAATTAAATTGTCGAATTATTAATTGTCTTATTATCGATAATTTTATAAAATAGAGTCAGCAGACATGTCATACTGTCTGCAAATATGTAAGTTTCATCGTGTTGAGTGAATCTGTCCCCTATTAGTATCAATGCTCTATTTCATGTGTACACCCGAGTACTAGTAAATTCCTTGATTGGCTTGATGGTCTAGTGGATAAAGTGCGACTGCTGATCATGTAGTCCCAGGTTCAAATACCCAGTCTGTCAAAATCTCGGTACCAGCCCGAAAAAAATTCACAACGTGCACAAAATAAAAGATTTGAAGTACCTTCCGCGCAGACCCCGTGTGCTAACGTTTAGTCCCGAATACACAAAAAGACAACAACCGTAAGTAGTTGCTGTGGCCCATAGACATCTATCATCGACTACGAATCAAAATGCAGATACGTTGTCACCCGTAACTACTAATTTGGAATGCTTCCCTTCAAGTAAAAAGGTTCTCCGGTTCTCTATACTCACCATACGAAGCACAGCAGCGTTAAGCTGGTATTTTGTGAGAGCCTGGTCTTTCCCCGGCGTTACAACCAACCTACTAATATAGCAGCAGCATAGCTCTACCACTTATTAACATGCGATGTTCTAGATGTCAAAGTTGGTTTTTTATATCGTTAATTTCTGTGTTACTCATCCTTAATCGATAAACACGAAAATAAAAAATGAGTACATTTATAGATAACCAATAACCAATATAGCGAAAAATATTAATGTAAATTACTCAATCTGCGAGAACAAGTCAGTAAAACAATTATCTTTAAATAATTTATTACCTTCAAAATAGGAATTAAAATCTGGCTGCAGGCTGAAGTTATGGCAACGAAGGGTGGTATTCATCGCATTGCTCAGTTCGGGGAGTGTTTTATCCGTACTAATATGACGCGCTGCAAGTATCCTTACCCTACTGCTTTCACCACTTATGAGACTCATTTTATTCATTTTACTTTTTACACACTTAGTTTACACTTAATTTTCAGCCAGTATTTTTTATGTTTTAATACGAGCTTTTAAAATGGCAACATTTTTGTTTTAAATTCCGTTTATCGCTGCCGACTGCGCGCTCTCAATAGTGCGTTTAGAACTCGAGAACGAAGCGAACTGGTACTGTATTGTACACCCAGTCTTCGAATGTACTGTCGACGCGGCACGCTCACTTTCTTTCGACATTTCGGTTCATGCAACACTACCTTAGTGATGTTCTACACTACGGGCATTTCGATACACTGGCCACAAACTAATATTCCCATTATCTTAAAAGTTGTTACTGATAACATCGATTATAAAGATAAGATACAGCTGATAATAAAAGTTACATAAAATAATTTACGATCATTCTAATTTTTGTACCTATAAAGTAAAAGGGGATTAAAGCTTTGTAGGCGAACTGATTCCACTTTTTATTAATTTTAAACATAGTAAATAAACAAAACTTTTAAAATATATATATGTGTGTGTATATATATTATAAATATGTATGTATAATAATAATACTTAGCACTGATCATCCATATATTTAATTCTACTAATTATCTATAAAAGAATATCTAATGATATCTACTAATGTACAACACTATACCCGTTACCTTCTTGATTACTCACTCATCAGTATAAGGCTATGAGGTAACAACAAGAGGACCGAATAACCGACTTTGCTAATCACCTTAGTTTTGCAATATTAAAATAAAATAAATGCGATACTACAGATATTTATATACTCAACATATCTGACCAACATAAAAATTTCTTGATTTAAAAGAGAAAGTTAACGGGGTCAATGTCAACTTTAAAGTTTGTTTTGTCACACTTTTTCTTTTTTTCCAGTCATTTCGTAATTTGTGCGTCAATCTCTACATAATATAAAACAAAGTCGCTTTTCGTCGTCTGCACGCTTAAATCATTTGAATTACGCAACGAATTTTTATGCGGTTTTCATCAATAGACAGAATGATTCAAGAGGATGGTTTATATGTATAACACATGCATATGTTGTCGATATCCAAAGTCACTCGTGCGTAGCCGGGCCGCATCGCTAGTTCTTAAATAAAACAATTATTTTCATAACATGGAAACATACAATTCTCCATAATAAAGAGAGACGGTTTGACCGATTTTTCTACAAGCAAGCATCAAGCTAGGAAGCAAGAACAATTCCGAAAAAAAAATATTCAGAGAAACTTTAATCGACGTGCTTACGTGATTTTAAAGGAATCGTTTACAAAAAATTATCGTGAACTTTCACCTATGCATCGCTGAAGTCATCTAAAGAACGAAGGACGATTCCAGGTCTAATTCCTCTGACATCCTATTTAAAACTTTGAAACTTTGGACTATTTGTGTCAAGCAACTAAGATAGAATTAATGTAATAGACGACGACTGGAGTGAATAAAATGTGAGAAAGGAACAAGAAGGATGAATTAGACGTGGTAGAGTCATGATGCAGCTATGTTCTGGTTGCAGCACGAATGGATCGGCTTGACCGGGGTAGGTCCATGCTCTCACAGAATACCTGCGTAAAATAGCAGCTTAATGCTGCTGTTTCGTATGGTGAGTGTAGAGAACCTGAGGCCCTTTTTACTGGAAACGCGGCATTCCATCTCAGTCCTCAGGGCTGGCAACGCATCTGCATTTTACTTCTTAATTGAGGATGATTGTAGATATCTAAGTAGCGGCTCATTCCCAACACGAGTATCCTCTGATTACTCACTGAGACCTCTCGGCTCAGCTCTCTAGTTGTAAACAAGATTACCGAAATTACGCAACAAACGCATTATTTATTTACTTATTTATTTAATTATAGCACTGCAGAAACGTACTTACATTTTAAAATAAATAGTAGTATTTTTGTTTAATTTGCTTCTATATTATAATTTGCGAAAGTAATCGCAATTAAATCGCTAAAGATAGATATATCTGTTTATTGGAACCCGTGATATCGTGCCAAGAACGCTAGCCGCGTTTCCTTGCTGAATGGCAATTGAGCGAGAAAAGAATCAGCAGCGACGACCAGTTGTGGTGTAGTTCTTTTAGGAACTACATCGCACAAAGACCCCAAGAATACATAGTCTTTTTTATAACTAAGGGTAGCACATATTCCACCTGATGGTAAGTAGTTGCTGTGGCCCATAGACATCTACATCTATCCTTGATTACGAATCAAAATGTGATGCGTTGTCACCTGTGAAGACTAAATATGAAATGCCTCGTTTACAGAGAAAAGGGTGTCCGGGTCTCTACATTCACCAAACGAAACACAGCAGCGTTACGCTCCTAATTTACGCTGGTATTCTGCGAGAGCATGGTCCTTCCCCGGTCGAGTTAGCCCATTCGTGCCACAACTATACCTCTAATATAGCTGCAGCATGACTCTGCCACTCAACTCTTCAGCAAGTGGCGTAAATATGTAGTCATCTCTCAAAGACTCATATTTGCGCCACTTAGTTCAGCTGTCTCTGATGCCGTTCCGTCACTAAACGAGTGTGTACGCAAGTAATATCCCATGCTAGGGCTTTGCCTCTATCCCGACAGACCTATATCATACCGTCGGGCGCCTGGCCTCCCTCTCTAAATATTCCACAAGGTTCTCAAATCAAGGGCACCTTTAAAGAGACATACACCTTACGTGGTAGAGCCATGCTGCAGTTATATTTGTAGTATAGTTGTAGCACGAATGGGTCGACTCGACCGGTGAAGGACCACGCTCTCACAGAATACCAGCGTCAAATAGTAGTTTAATGCTGCTGTGTTTCGATGGTGAGTGTAGAGAACCGGATACCCTTTTTACTGGAAACGAGGCATTCCACCTAAGTCCTCGCGGATGACAACGCATCTGCATTTTGATTCGTAATCGAGAATAGATGTAGATGCCTATGGGCCACAGCAGGTGGACTGTTTGCTCGTTTGTCATCCTATCCTATAAAAAAAAGACATGAGCTCTTCAAATGGCATCATTCAAAGAACCGTGACGGGAAAACCTAGCAGCACGAAAATTAGTACAGAAAAACTCATCGACGCTGCTACCACAAGGGGCACTGATGACAATGCAGGATTAATCACGGATCAAGCTACGGGACCTGAGCAAAACGGGGCCCCGCTTATTCAAACCCGCTAATTTTCACCTGATCGTATTTTTTTTTTATTTACACCTTTTCCGACTAAGGCAACCCAAATCAGATAATCGGCAGCCAATTATTTCGTTGGCGAAAAAAAAGACTGAATTCCATACGGTAAACGAATTTAATTATGTTATAAGTTATAACTTATAATATAGAATTTGCATCGGTCCGATGATCGGCTATACAAAAAGTCTGACGTGTTCAAGCATCTATTGCTGTGTTTCATATTTGCGTTTTAATTTTTTTGTAAATTATTACTGTACTTTCGATATCTTTTATTACTTATTTTTAGAATTGCACTATGGGGATCAGCACGAAGTTTTTAATGGTAATAAGCGTCGGCATCCGTGCTACAGCAGCAGCGCTAAAGGAAATATATGCTACGCGAAGCCGCGCAGAATGCCATTTGCTACATTGTTGCTTATGGGGCTGGAAATCGAGACCTTTTTTAAGAAATTTCCTCCTTTTTAAGGTAATGTTTACAGTTATTTACTTATTAACAAAACGCTGAGACCCTTTTTTGTTAAAAACAAATTGAAATTTTGATTTCCAGAAAAATAAACGTTTCAAAATTTGTTTCCATTCATGTTTCTAATTACTAGTTGTTTTTTCCGAAAGCAAAGAAAGAAGAAGAAAGTTTTTTTTATTGAGAAACAAACTTATTTCACTATCATCAATTTGAATACTTATCAAAATATAAATTCGTGTTTATTTATTCCAATGTACCTACCGTCTCACGCTTTCAGGTGATTATTATTAAAACTAATGGTGAATTTTTTGTTATGCATAAACAATACAATTAATTAATATAATATGGAATTAAATAATAATCAATACTTTCAAAAAATATAGGGAAGAGACTAGTTTGCTCAATCAGTAATAGGAGTGCGTATTTTGTTTTTACATAATTTTGGTATGACTTTTGTTTTGACATTTCATAATACATAATATCTTCATAGCTCGCGTCACTAAATTGCGTGAAATTAATAATGATGATTATTTCAAATTTCAATATATATATATATATATATATATAAAAATAGTATATATATATATAACAGCAGAAATTTAAACTTAAGCAGTTAAACAGAAATACATTTCATTGTCTGTACAGGCACTTTACAAGTATTCTGAATTCGAAGAGACAGTACCTAAGTTCATCTAATTCTGTCATATAATGTTTTAGTCACAGAAAATCTGAAAAGCCATTACGTTCCCTAGACCCAAAGTAACATTTCTTGAACCAAACGGAAGTAAAAAATATATTACATGATTCAAGTGCTATCGTTTCTTCTACCGAAAAAACTAAATAAAAATAAAATATACTCTAACAATGTTGATAAATGGCCATGGAAACTTTGACCGAGATTATTAGATAGCGAAAGAAGGAACAAACTGCAACATATTAACAGTATTTTTTTAATTTCAAAGAATACGTAAGTAAGTATACCGTTCTGCCTAAGGTCATTTTTCACTTATATAAACCTATTCGAAACTAAAAGGCGACTTTCTGTTTTGTTTGCAAAGTTATAGATTCAGATACTAATCAGACAGCACGGTATTCGAAAGATGGGTTGGATGACTGGAAGAACGCGAACAATTTGTTGTAAAAGCATGAAGAAAGCACTCCGCATAGAAAAGCCATAACTTCGCTGTTAAGTCGCAAAAACAAGTATACGTGTGTCGATTCTCAACTTGTAACCCAAATTGAGACTGAGCAAAATTATTAGCAAACGCTCTTAAAACGAATTATTGCAGTAATAAAGTTTGCAGAACGACTTACGTTTCAGTGCAATATTGAAATTCTTGGTTCAACT